CTGTGAGGAACTAACGACATTCGGATGATAACAGTTACTCCCCCATCCCTTCTCTGGTGTCGTGGTTGGTGGAGCACCTGAAACCCATCTGGGCACATTTCTGAGAGGGGAACACCCCCCTCTTGGCCCAGCCAGGTTTCGGTTATACATGCCAGGTCTGCCTCCTTGTCCAATATTAAATCTCGGATGAGGGGAGCTTTGTTCACAACCAACCTGGCATTTAGCAACAACAACCTGAGACCGGGGCTCTGCACTCCTCTGACACTAGATCCTTGAGTTGAGCCTGAGGGGCCGGAACAAGCAATCGCTGTAATGTAGCAAGTCCTTGTTTCCCAATAATGGCTGCCCCTACATCTCCTGCCATATCTGCCCCTCCCAGTCATGACCAGGATGCTCCGACTTCCCCCTATCCACATAGACCCCCCCCTCTCCCACGGCCCCCCTTCTTTCCAAGTTCATTTTTGGTTAGAAATAGGTCATAGAAAGCACTGGATTGACATACTTATTACTTCTGTTTTTACACTGTAATTGTGTTTGTATGCATGTGTTTGGTCCCACTATGCTTTCTTAGTCTGACTGGGAAGTTGAAAACTATTAACCAGCATCAGACCAAGCATAGTGGATCATGATCCATGACATTAAATGAAGAGACCTACATCTTGTAGTGGATTTCCCACACAAGAATTATGGGGCTAATAGCTCGCCGAAAGTACAAAAATATGGTACTCTTTTACATCTGAATTTGTTAATTCAGTGAATTCCTAATCTTGGTTTGGGGAACTCAAATGATGGCTTTATATGCTAGAATGTGGTTATTGTAATTTGGGATGGTAGTCTCACTTTTGGCTCTTTCCAAATTTACGATTCCATAAAAATAGTTTTACTTATTGCCTAATTCTTCCTTTCAATAGCAATAGCACTTAAGACTTATATACCACTTTACAGTGCTTTACAGCCCTCTCTAAGTGATTTACAGAGTCAGCATATTGCTCCCAACAATCTGGGCCCTCATTTTACTGACCTCAGAATGATGGAAGACTCAGTCAACCTTGAGCTGCTTAGAACTGAATTCCTGGAGTGAGCAGTGAGAACCTCTATCAGCTACAATACAACAATTTTAGCATAATCAATGTTAATGGGCCTGAACTATATTCAGAAATATAATAGGGAAGTATCATTTCTTTTTATAAGTTATAAAACTGACTCATGGAATTTCAATTACTCCAAATCCTGCTCTGCTCATTCTTAGTTAAAAGTGACACTAAAAACAACACCATAAATTAATCCAATTGGGAAACCTGAATTTTAATTTCAGCAGCAGATATTTTTCTCTCTCTTGTCAATGTATTCAAAATTCTATGTAATTGGATGAAATGTTGAGATTTTAAGTATAGCTACAGACACCATAGCGGGACACGGTGGCTCAATGGCTGAGATGCTGAGCTTGTTGATCAGAAAGATCGGCAGTTCTGCGGTTTGAATCCCTAGTGCTGCATAACCGAGTGAGCTCCCGTTACTTGTACCAGCTTCTGCCAACCTAGCAGTTCGAACACATGTAAAAATGCATGTAGAAAAATAGGGACCACCTTTGGCGGGAAGGTAAGAATGTTCCATACGCCTTTGGCATTTAGTCATGCCGGCCACATGACCACGGAGACGTCTTCGGACAGCGCTGGCTTTTGAAATGAAGATGAGCACCGCCCCCTAGAGTCGGTAATAACTAGCATGTATGTGCAAGGGGAATCTTTATCTTACAGACACCATGTTCCAGGTAACTAAATAATTTCAGTATCATTGGAAAAGTAATTACTATGAATATCTAAGGAAAGACAGGCTGCAAATTCTAATTCAGCCCCATGTATGGGATGCTATATTCTGGGCAGTAAAATAATTGCATTGTTAAACATCTAGAACACCAGTATATATGGCTTATTTGCTACTGTATATGTTTTGCATGATGTGCAGTTTCAGCTAGGGAATATTCATTAGGAATAAAATAGCATTATTATTTATTCTTTCCAACACTGAATTTTTAAAAATTTAATATATTACCATATCTCAAGAAGCTGCACAACCTGATAATTCTGGGACAGTTTGTCAAAAGATGATTGGGTTCAACACCACACTGACACTTTTGATATCCGTGATTACATAAATGATACAAAATGGCAATTTCCTAAATTCTGTAGAATTTAAATGATTTGATATATTAAACTCCTCCACATCTCCAGTGAAACATAATGTATAGGAATAAATTGAAGGGAAGTGATATTCTTTGCATAAGTGGCCATTTCATCACTTACATGAATATGAAAGTTGTGTTTATGTGTCTGTTATATTATTACTCGAACAGGATCAGTTTGTAATGGTATGTGAGAATGACCTTGGGAGACAGGGGAAAGAGCCACAGCCAGAGGATTGGTTGCACAATTGACCTGCAGAAGAAATGTGAGCATGGCAAACACCTCCCTAGTTTTGGGGGCAGCAGGAGAGAAATCTTATTTTCAGACTTGCATGATTGTGTTAATGTCACCTTACAACAATGGAGAACTAGCTCAGCTGAATGCACTTCCTTGTCTGGACTAACTTGCAAGGCTGATACAATTCTACATGTATTTTAAGAGCAAGGGTTCCCCAAAATCATATGTATTCAATAAATGAGACATCTGAAGGACGTAGTTTGTGCTTACTTACTCCCACTACAGACTGCTTGGCACTTTCAGAAAATGCTGGCTCAGTCTTTGCCTTTGAATAATGAAACAAAAAACCGATGGTCAGCAAAGTGAAGTCATTAAGAATAAATCAGCCCTGTTTCCATCCAAAAAGAGCTTAATGTTACACTTTGCAGTACACCACTGTAGCTGTGCTTGGCTCTCATATTGATTTTTCCTCCTCTCCACAGCAGTGAACATATAGAATCAGCAGGTTCCCCCTTGCACTCAGTCACATTAAAAGAAAATAATGGAAACAAAAGACAGTAACGTCAGAAGCCTAATATGGGGAAGCACAACTGTGACACCTGGTCCTGACCAATGCATAAATATGCATAAGCAAGAGATGAACTTGCTGATTCTGCATGTTCATGGTGGGGGATGTACAATCAGCTGGGAGCAATGACCTGCATTATTTTTGCAATGCAAAGTTGAATAGAATCCCAGTAGATATAAAACCTGATACATGCCAAATACAGGGAAGCCTGAATCCATTTCTGAAATTCAAAACCACTCCACATTCTAAAATTGGCTGAAGTAGGAGAAAAGCATCTGTTTCCATGCAAAATGCTGTTTTAGCTTTTTAGACCTGATATATTTTGTGACTTTTCTGAGAAAACATCTATGTAAATTCTCTGTTGCTTAATTTTTTATTCAGTCTGATTTTATTGATTGTGAGTGAAGGCTGGTAGTTATTTCATTTACATTTAAAATTTCTGTCAGACAGACTCCATTACACTTTCAAGGGTATGAAAGGAGCTTTTACTTTGCACCTTTCAACCAGCAATGTTGTAACAGTGAACATTAATTCCTCAATCACTCTTTTAATTAGACACTCCAAAAAGTGAGAAATGGAGTAATGGATGTCTAAGTCCCACTATTAATAACACAAATTTGCTGTATGTTTAGACATTTTGAAATCCTACTCAGTTCAAAATCTATAACAAGTACTGTTCATGGCCATTAGTTTATTCAAATTTAAATAATTATACACCAGATTTAAAAACATTCACAATATTATAATTATAATTTAATACATATAATACTAAAATACAATACTTGAGTGGAAATTGTTATTCACAGAATCATAAAAAACAGAAACAGCCATATTCTGGAAATTTAAATTCCAAGTATTAACCAAAATTATTTGAAACTTACATAAAATTATAGTTCTTTGACAAATGGAAAACAGAAATCAGTTTTTATATTAACTTAGGTTAAAATTTAAGTCTTTGATAACTATCAGTATCTATTGGTCTCTTGACATTTCTAATTTTAAAAAATAAAATTTGAAATATTTTAAAATAAAAATTGAAGGCATATAATAAACATGATTTGATATGTTATTTTATCTGTTGTTAAACTAAACGACTAAAATTTGACATCTAACTTCCCATTACTAGATACTACCTCCTCCTTGGATTCAAGCCCAGAGAACTATCTGAATCCTATAAGCTATGTGAAATATCTTTAACTCCAGATAGATGGTGAACATCTTTGTCAAATTATTTTAATAATTTCTGGCCATATTAGAAAATGTTGATGTTCTTTAAATATGGTTAAACTACTACTCCATTCATGTCGGAAGCTTCTACCAAGGCACTTATGGGTTGAAAGTGACATCACTGTTACACAGGGGATGTCTGAGGGGGTTCCTTTCATGTCCATTAATTTCCCATCAAAGTGGTATCTATTTATCTACTCACATTTGCATGCTTTCAATCCGCTAAGTGGTTCATTCCATCGCTCAGCTTGCTCTTGGGTTTTGAACTGCTGTCAACTTCTTAATGGTCTTTTGACTCAGTGTCCTAACCCCATGAGCCACTGAAATCCCTTAAATATGGCTATGAAATATTTGGATGTTTTTTTTTAATTTGTACCAGTTCACAAGCATGATTGCCTTAAATCTTCAAAATCTGTGGGTAAAACGTGCCTATTTTTTTAGGCAGATTGTTTATTCAATTAATTTTGTAGGTCACACCTATACCACAGTCTCAATCACTTGCTTCCCTAGCTATAAATAGTAAATTACTTTTCTTCTCAGTATCATATATCATCTTCCCACACTTCATTTTTTTCAATAGAACGATTGAAAATATGATATGTACCATATCATTATGTTCAGCAAAAACATCTTAAAACACTTTAATTTTAATGTTATGACCTACAACAACACTGGAACATGGGAGTCAAAATGGCAATTGTGACTGCATGTAGTCCTGTCCCAAAGGGCTCCAACTGCATGTTCACAGCCACTATATTTCTTTTGATCCCAACATCCCTGCATACAGGATAAAGAAACTCAAAAGCGATTTGAGTTTTGAGTGATTCTAAACCTGATTTAAAGAGCAGATAAGGCTTGAAAAATATTGCACATGTATTTGCTTGCTCTTTTTTTAGGCATGTCATACGAACATGGCTTTTATGCTGAAGCTTCAGAGTTAATTAAGATGAAGAAGTTGTAACTTGTTTTATTTATGGCTTATGCCATAAATACGTAACTAAATAGGTAGTAAGCATGGACGGAGGAGATATACTTCACTATATTGTGATAACAGTGTGCTTCATTTCAGTACTTGAGTTTGGGCAAATCCACCTCAGCTGAGTGCCTAACATTGAGAAAAAATAACTAATGTCAACTGTTGTTCCTGTTTTTCAAAGGTTTTCTTTTACAAGTACCTTAGAACATAAAGGAACTCTGTATAAGAAGCATATTTTAGCTTAATGCCAGAATCTATGCCTTTTATTTTTTCACAGGGTAGTGTACACTGTATGCTGGAATGTAACACCCACAATTTCTTCTACTCCTATACATCTGAAGTATGCCAATCTGAGAAATTAACCTTATCTCAAATGAAGGCAGGCTCCAGATGCTTAAATATACAGACATCCTACATACTATTGTCTCCTTTCTTTAACAATTTCAACAATCAAAATATGCAAGTCATCTAAATAACCTGAGGAAGGTGCTTTTGCATGCTAGTGAGTTTTATAATACTTCACTTCCAAAGACAAAATTCCACATGCAATTTCTGTTATCTCAAAGCACTCTTTTCCAATAGCATTCTTATCCACTCCTAAAGTTGAACACCTTGCAGGTGGAAGTGAAGTTGGTATTATTTTTATGCAATTCAGGATTACAGGGTCGTAAAAAAGGAGTTGCAGCAAATACTATTGTCTTGCAGACTCTACAAACTTAAAAAAAAGTTTGTTCTACTTTTAAATTTATTGTACATTGAGTTTGCAAATCTGTAGCTTTGAGAGACTTTTAGGTGGGAAAAAAAATAGAGGCAGATACATTAGGAATAATTCCCTTCCCTGGTCATTACTACAAGAAACCTCCTTAACATCTATGGAACTGTCTGCCTACCATGTTGAGCAACTATAAATGGTATAGTGAAGGTCCCATCCTAACAGGAGGAAGGAGGAACATGGATCAAAATTCCATCTTGTTGACTGTCTGCCCCTCCTCCCCCCAACTGCAGAACACAGATGCCAGAAGTATACAGGTAGTCCTTGACTTACAACAGTTCCTTTAGTGACTGGTCAAAGTTACAACAGCACTGAAAAAAGTGACTTATGACCATAGTAGATATAGTACATACCTTTTTTAATGGAAATTATGTGACATCATCAAAGTAAACAAACCCACGTGCTGATTACGTCACCAGATCATGCCCCTAAGCGGAAGTGATGTGCACAGCCCCCANGCGGCTTTTTGCATTTGACTGATGATGATTTTGTCAATTTTTAACTGTTTTAAATGTAATTCCAGTGCTTTTGGAATAGCACCCAGTGTGCCAATAATAATAATAATAATAATAATAATAATAATAATAATAATAATAATAATAATAATAATAATAATAATTACTATTATTATTTAATACATTTGCAATGGCTGCCTTTGGTTTTTCAACGATGATAATAGGATACGTGTAAAGACCTGAATGGGAGGTTCAGGATAAGGAAGTAGGAAAAAGAATGTCAAAACAGGGCTTCTGTTTGGATCAGTACGTCAGACCTTCCAGCTGACTGCCAGGAACCTTGATGGGAACTGGAAGGGAGGGCGAGAGTTCAGGGGAAAGTGAAACTGAATTACTTAGAAGACCAAGTTGAGGCAGTATGATGTTACTGAAATCTTGTCAGGTCTAAGCTAACAATCTCTCCCTCCTCTCTTGCCCTCAACCATCTTTTTAGTCTTGGGATTTATTTTTCCGTAATGCTACTGCTAAAGCTCTTCCTGGACAGCCCCTCCCTTCATCTTTGCCAGACCTTTCTGAAGCGAAAACGTCCCTCGTCCAAAGCCATAGGCTGACTAAAGCACCTGGTAAGGCTGAGAAGCTGGTTGAAGACCATCTGGCAGTCCAATCCTTGATTAGAGCCTACCAGGTAAGTGAAAAGAGAACTCTCCTCCGTTTCCATTTGAAAATGTTCTTGGAAGTTTTTAATAAACTTCTGCCAAAGTTGTCCAGCTTTATATTATCCTGCCGAAGGAGACATTTGATTTTGTGAAGGTTGTTAATTTAATTTCTATGGGGTTGGGCAGAAAGGGTACCACCAGGCATAACGATACACTGTTGTTCTTGGATGATTTTAACAGGAAAATAATTTTCTCTCTATCCCATTTCTGTGCCAAATTCAGTAGTGTCTATCAGATATATGAAGCCAAAGAAAGAGGAAGGAAGGAGCACAGACTTAAACTGTTCACAACAGGCAACAATCTTAGAAATTGCACTGAATAATCTTAGAATCTTAGAAATTGCACTGAATAAAAGAGCATTGCAGGGTACCAGCAATGTACCAGCAACAAGAATATATTCATTAATAAAATAGAGGAAGGTAGGGAAGGAAAGAAGGAAGGAAAGAAGGAAGGGTGGATATTGGACATCTATTGCAAGGGGAAATCAAAGAAAGCTGCCAAGCGAAGGCCTTTGAAAATGAAATGACCTTTGACACTAAAATATATCTGTGGCTATATCCCCTAACAAATATTTGAGGGAGACTCATTATCTCAGTAAGATATCGAGTACAACAGAAGACCTACTGTACATTCTTCTGCTACGTTTTCTGTTAGAGAGGGTGAATAGAAGAGGCAAGACTCAAGCTTCAGCAACAACAGCTCTTTATTAAGTGATAATTATGTACAATCCAGCAAAGTCTCTGTCTGGCAGCAGCCCTTTTAAAGGGAACTGTCAGACCACTCGACCAATCACATTTAAGTATTGTTCCTGCCGTATCAGAGGACCTTGGTGAAAACTACCATACTGGCTGTTAGTATATGACACCCCCCCCCTCTTAGTTGGGCTGATCCGGCTTGTAACGTACTCCCGCAGGTAGGCAGGTTTTCTAGTAGCTCTCCTTGATCTGCGCAGTTCAGTCGGTGCTGGAATTTCAGTCAGGTCGGATGGACCTATTTCCTCTCTGACTTCGCCTGGTGGAAGCTCCTGGAACTTTCCACAGGGTGCAGCTGGAGTTTCTGGAGCCAGTTCGCTCGGAACCTGCTGCAACCCTGCAACTTCAGCAGATAAGTACCCTGGTATTTTCGGGCTTAGGTAGTCTGTTGAAGAAGTGAATTCGTACTCCTTTTGGGTAGGGCTTTGGCTAACTAGTGCAGGAGTTAACTCTGTTTGCCCAAGGTTGGATTAAGAGAAGCGGCCTCAGAGTTGGTCAATGTGCCACCTCCAAATCCTACCATCCTTGAGCTCTAACTGGTAAGAACGAGGTCCGGTGATTCCTGTAACACTGGCAGGAATCCAGAGAGCCCCCACCCCCAGCGTAGTTGTGGGCATAAATTCGGTTCCCTATGCTAAAGTGTCTAAGTTTGCTGGTTGAATCAGGGGGTGTTGCGGCAGAGTAGTTTGGGTGTAGCCAGTCTAAGGGCGACCTTAGCTGGCAACCCATCAGAAGCTCGGCAGGGCTTCTGACGGTGGTTGCACTTGGCGTGATGTGCTGGTAAAGGAGGAGTCTACTAAGATCTGGCTGTTCCGGCAGGCCTGGGGCTGTTGATCCTCGATTGATTTCCAGCCCCACTAAGAACTGAGTGCATGTTGTGTCCTTTTAACCTCTTTGTTTTTGTATTTTAAATTTTCTAGTATTTTTAACACTTTTATGTGAGCCGCCCAGAGTCCTTCGGGATTGGGAGGCATACAAATCCATTAAAATTCAAATTCAAATTCAAAATAGTTGGTCTACCCATGTTTATCAATCTCCCGGCCCCATTCTAGATAGGGCTTCTTTTGCAGATTGCACCATTCTCTCCACCTCTCCATTATTGGCTAGATGGAATGGAGCGACCAGGGCATGCCTGATTCCCTGAGTAAGTAAGTCTCAAATTGCATGGCCGTAAATTGGGGCCCGTTGTCCGAGACTAGGACGTCAGGCAGGCTGTGAGTGGAGAAAAGTCTCCGTAGTGCCTTGATGACTGCTTCTGCTGTAGTAGCAATCATGGGGAATACCTCTAACCATTTTGAGTAAGCGTCCACAACTGCCATGAAGACTTGGCCATGAACAGGGCTGGCAAAGTCAATGTGTACCCTTGACCAGGGTGACTGAGGCCATTCCCATTCCTTAGTGGGTGCCTCTGAGGGAGCTGGTCTGGACTCCTGGCACAGTGTGCAGGTAGCCACCCACTCTTCAATCTCCCCCTCCATATAAGGCCACCACACGTAACTCCTGCCCAAAGATTTATCTGGACAATTTCCCGATGTTGTACGTGCAAGTCCTCTAATACTGCAACACACAGTTTGGTTGGAACAATGACCTGGTCCTCCCACAGTAAACAACCATTTACAACAGACAGTTCATCCTTTTTGGTTACAAACATTTTAAATTCAGGCCCAACCAGCCACATCCAGTTCAAAACCTGTGCAAGAGTTAGGTCTTTCGCTGAGTGGCAGGCGACCTCATCGGAAGAAACCAGGCCGGCCTCAAGGCAGTCAATAAGTAAAACCGGAGTCTCAGGGATTGGATCGGCAAGCAGTTCAGGTAGAGGGCACCAGCTGAGGGCGTTGGCATGCCCCAAGGTGGAGCCCAATCAATGAACTGTAGGACGCGAGGAAAATTGTCCAACAAGTCATTCGTGGTGACAGTGATGCCAGAGTAGGCCAGTCCCCAGCCAGGAGCCCCAAAAACCGTTTATGGTCTGTGATGATTTCAAAGTCATGGCCATACAGGTACTTGTGGAACCTTTTTATGCCAGCTACTGCAGCCAGAGCCTCACGGTCCAAGTTGGCTGTAGTTTTGCTTGGTAGCTGACAGGGTCCTCATGTAGTAGGCGATGGGGGGTCTCAGTTCCACTGGACATGTAGTGGCTGAGGACTGCCCCAACGCTAAACGGAGAGGCGTCACAAGTCAGCACAAGTGGCAGAGTCTGGTTGTACTGAACCAGGACCGTATCCGCTGACAGCAGTCTTTTCACTGCGGCAAATGTGGCAGCTTCAGGTCCACTTGGCCTTCTTGCTGAGGAGCCAATGCAGTAGCTTTCTGTTTGAAAAAGATGCTGTAGAAATTAAGGAGTCCAAGGAATGCCTGTAGCTCGGTCTGATTGTGAGGTGTGGGGGCATCCTGGATTGCTTTGATTTTTTTGTTTGTTGGGTGAATTCTGGTGGCGGCGATCAGGTACCCTCGAAATTCAACCCTTGGCACATTAATTTGGCATTTTTCTTTTTTGAAATGGAGGCCTTTCTCACTAATTCTGGTCAAAACAGTTCGTAATCTTTTAAAAAATTGCTCCTTATTTGCAGCCAAGACCAAGATGTCGTCGAAATAGGGGACGACTCCTGGTATTCCGTGCAAAAGCCGCTATGACGCTTTGGAACAGTCCAGGGGCAATACTAATCCCGAATTGCAACTATTACTATGTGTCACAATGGTTTGGGCCTCTGCTATGGCACCATCTACAGGCAACTGTTGGTATGCCTGTGCCATATCTAATTTTGCAAATACTTTTCCCGGGCCAAGGAAATGAAGTAAATGCTGGACAGTGGGCACTGGATAAGCGCTCTGTTGTAGAGCTTTATTGATGGTGCATTTATATTCCGCGCAGATTCAGACAGACCTATCAGGCTTGACTGGAATCACTATAGGGCTCTCCCAGCATGCATAATCAACCAGCTCCAGAATTCCCTGGCCAATTAACTTGTCTAATTCGAGGTCAATTTTGGACAGAGAGCGAAAGGGACTTTCTGGGGCTTTAATCTAATGGAGACTATGTTGGGGTCCAAATTGAAAGAAATTGGGGTCCCCATATACTTGCCTAGACCGGTGCCGAAGGCGTCCTTGAACTGCTTAAGTAGTTCTTCGCTGCTGTCATCATGAACCACGTTGATACCGGTCACCCCCAGGCCCAGGGATTCGAACCAGTCTAAGCCTAGGAGGGTCTGCAGGGCTCCACCAACCCTGCCACAGGAAGCAGTCCGTCAAAAGAGTTGAATTGCACTCGGAAAGTGTCTTGGACCAGAACTGGGATTCAGTTTCCCTGGTAGTTGCTCAGGCACAGATCTGGAACCCTCAGCTTGTGCTTCCTCAAGTTAGGGACAGCCTTCTTCAGTGTGGGCCATGACATGATGGTTAGTGATGAGCCAGTGTCGATCTCCATAGAGCAGGGAGATCCCTCAAGGAGTATGGAAATCCTCAGCTTCTTGTTCCTCAGGGTGCTTGTTTGCCTGATTGTTGTATGGAATATAGTCTCGTTGTCTGCCCAAGCTTGCTTCTGCTGCGGTTTCCATGTCTCTCGCCTTGGCGGTCTTGGGTGTGCAGTCTGGGTGGCCGGCTGCTTTGGTGCTGCAGGGAATTCCCTTCGGCAGACTCTTGCAATGTGCCCTTTTCAGTCACAGCGTTGGCAAATGGCATCTCAGAAATGGCAGGCAGATTGCTGATAGCTGCCCCCACAGCCGCTGCAAGGCGGGAAACTGATTTCGAATTTCTGCACCAATTCTTTCTTCTTCAATGTGTGCATGTGGTAGATCTTTTCCTCACAGTCAGAGTTCTTTCTCAGCAGTCTCGCGATGGACTTCAGCGGTCTTTTGCGCACTTTGGGAGCTGTTCTGCCTCTGCAGTGTTTCCGTTGACTTGGTTGAAGACTCAGTAGCCCTGGCTTCATCCAGGGCGATTTTAGAGTGAGGTTTGTCTTTGCAAGCAACCTCCTTTGTAAATTAATGTCCCGAATATCACAAATAATTCTGTCCAGCAACAGTTCATCTAAGTCCCTAAATTCACAGTAGGCCGCAGCCTTCCAAAGTGCGGCAACATACTGGTTGATTGTTTCACCTTCTTTCTGGTTATGGAGGTTGAATTCGTGCCTCCACACATATTTAGACAGTTTGGGAGCATAGTGTATCCTCAGTGTTTGATGTAGCACCGACCAAGCGACTGACTGTTACCGGCGGTGGCTCAGATAGGTCCTAGGCAGTGTTGAATACCTCTGGCCCACAGTAGCTCAGGAACATGGCTTTCTTTCGGCCTTGGGACAGGCCAGGTGGTCGTTGGCTTCGAGGAACCATTCGAACCTCACCATATACGAGCCCCAATGCTCGGTGGCTGAGTCGTACGGAGCTGGTGGGGCGTGCATAGTCATCTTGTTCATAAAGGCAGATTTGAATTTGCCACTTAAAGAGGGCTGCTCGATGCCGTGCTTAACTCCAGGCTGGATTGACTTGCTGGATTGTGTTTGCTCTTTTTGGTGCCTAGTTGCCTTCCAATCCCATCCTCGCCAGTGTTAGATAGGGTGAATGGAAGAAGCAAGACTCAAGCTTCAGCAATAACAGCTCTTTATTAAGTGACAACTATGTACAATCCAGCAAAGATTCTGTCTGGCAGCAACCCTTTTATAGGGAGCTGTCAGACCTCTCGACCAATCATACTTGAGTATTGTTCCTGCCAGATCAGAGGACCTTGGTGGAAACTACCATACTGGCTGTCAGTATGTAACATTTTCTGTTTCTTCTTCAGAGAAGAAATGGATTTACTGTGATATAAATACCAGCTGAGCAGAATTGAAGAGAACTGTTTAGAGTATAGTCATTCTAAGTGAAATATGTTCAAAGTAACAGAAACTGCTGTCGTCTCTTGTAAATTGACCAGAAGCACCATTATCTCATCCAATGCTGTATGTGCAAATAGGGATTTCAGAAGGAGAAGTCCTGTTTCCTAATTCTCTGACTCTTTTGTTATATTTAGTGTCCCAGGAGTACTTTTATCAGACCTGTGTATGTCCCTGGTTAATATATTGACCAGACAACTGAGTGATAGGAAATTTATTTCATAACATAAAAGAGCTGTGTTGGAGCAGTGGTTAGGATGCAGTATTGCAGGCTGACTCTGCCCACTGCCAGGAGTTCAATCCTGACCGTCTTAAGGTTGACTCAGCCTTCCATCCTTCCGAGGGAGGTAAAACCCAGATGGTGGGTGGGGGGGCTAGGCTGACTCTGTAAACCACTTAGGGCTATAAAGCACTGTGAAGTGGTAGATAAGTCTTCAATGCTATTGCTATAACCTACTTGATTCTAAACATCCACATGTGCACACCGGAATGCCACAAGCCACCACAGCCAACTTGCCATAACCAGGGGACAACTTCCTGGGATCCATTTACTTCCTTTTATTTTTGTTGACTGTGTTTTTGTCAAGGAATTATTTTATCCCTTACATCAAAGGAAATAATTCCTACCATTGCCAGCTTTTGTAATGCTTTGGTAAATAATAAAAGAATCTAATCCCACATGGAATTGGCAAGTTGCCTGTGGTGAGTTATCCTAGACCAAGGGTAGTCAACCTTTTTATACCTACTGCCCACTTTTGTATCTCTGTTAGTAGTAAAATTTTCTAACCGCCCACCAGTTACACAGTAATGGTGATTTATAAAGTAGGGAAGTAACTTTACTTTATAAAATTTATAAAGCAGAGTTACAGCAAACCCCTACCGCCCACCATGAAAGCTGGAACGCCCACTAGTGGGCGGTAGGGACCAGGTTGACTACCACTGTCCTAGACCATCTGTATAGAGAATATTTAAGTGAATTAAAGCCTAAATTAAACTTATCAGAAAGGTTCTACACATATCGTATCATGCACAAACATAAGAATAACCACACAAATACCAATTTGGGATTATTCACCACTGAAATTTCCCAGTGCTATTTTGTGATGTCAGTAGATAGAGTTCTGTCTGTTTGTTATAAGGAATGCATCTTAGAATTTTAATTTTGAAATTAATTTGATTTTTTTTTTAAAAAAACTAATTTAAAATTAGAATTAGAATTTTAACGCTTGCCATTGGATATAAAAATGCTTTTCATTGCTAATTGGGCCAGATTTTGCAAATTAGGTAAGAGAAGATTTCCTATAATTCCCATACCCATAAATGATTGGAGTTCTTATCTTCAGTTTGTAGGGCACTACAAAGCCCAGCTTGATCCTTTGGGGATTCATGCCGTTTCTTTTGATGCATCCATGAATCACTGTAATTCCACAAAATTTGGTGAGCTTTTATTGATTCTGTTTAGTGTGATGTTTGTTCTTTTCTTTGCCTTTCCTACTTCCCTTCTTTCCCACTCTGACCTCTTCAGATCCGGGGACACCACGTGGCTCAGTTGGATCCCTTAGGAATCCTGGATGCTGATTTGGATTCATTCGTTCCATCGGATTTAATCACTACTATAGATAAACTGGGTGAGAGTTTTAAACCACCTTGGTGTAAATTAATATCCATAGTCAGAGGAATGTCTCAGGAAAACAAAATGCAGCTGGCAAGTTAGTTAAGCATTGCAATTTTATTTCCTATTGGAACGTAGCAGCCAAATCTTCTTTAGTGAGATTGTCCTCTAATTATGTGTATTAGTTTATCATAAATAGATTAGCATTTTTTATATGTATGTGGATTTTTGTGTATGTTCACACATACATTGTATACTTAACTGAAGGGGGTCTCTGTGTGTGTGTGTTTGGCTGTCTCTATAGGCCTGAGAGAGAGAGAGAGGTTTTTATGTAGCAGGAATCTGGGGTGAACTGTAAGAAATATTCAGAACTCCTCCCAAAGGTGCTTTTTCAAGAGCCAACTGGACTTTCTTTGTTTTGCCTTGAAGATGTTTCATGTCTTATCCAGAAGCTTCTTTGGAGCTTCTTTGGAAGAACCTTCTTGGATGAGAAACAAAATATCTTCAAGGGGGAAAAAAGTCTAGTTGCCTCCTGAAAAAGTACTTTTGGGACAACCATGACCTACAGTATATGACTAAAAATCTCCATAAACATATTCAGAAGTCGGTTCCCTCTTCACAAATTAACTAAGAAATTAACACCAAAATAAATACTGGGAAAGAAAATATATATTTCAATAGATAAGGCATTAATTTGTATCATAATGTCTTGAAAAAACGGCTCGCATGGTTGCAGAAATCTCCAAGCGAGTACCAAATGTGTGTTCGCTCTTTGACTAAGCAGTTATAATGGAGGCATTCACACCTCCTATAAGCTGTTCTATATGCCAACCATGTTGTGTGAATCCAGTCAGCATGCAACATTTCTCCCCGTGAGAAGGCAGTTCTTTGCAGAGAAGGTCTGAAAGGGAAGAAGGTGAGCATGTGTCAGGTGGAGATCCTTGGGAGGGTGGGACCCTTGTTTGATTTTGGCTTGCTGCCTTCCTCTCTGCTAATCATGTCACAGAGTTTTATGGCTTGTACGAATCCGACTTGGACAAAGTCTTCCGATTGCCCACAACTACCTTCATAGGAGGAAATGAGACGATGCTTTCTCTACGGGAGATTATCAAGCGACTGGAGGTCAGTGCTGTTGCTTCTTCTCCTAAATGGGACTTGGGTGATTTCCAGTCTTCCACCAACACGGACAGGGCAAGCCACTGGTATATAAAAAGAGAGCAAGCCCCCCCACTTCCTTTTTAGCCCTGATGATGTAATCTAGTTGGGTCATGAAACGTCTTCAAGAAAACCACCAAGCTCAGAGAGCACCAAGGACCCCAACAGTCTTCAATCTGATGACCCCAAGTAGCTGTATCATTTCTTGCTACAAATTTTATTTAACTAGTTGTTGGCGGTCAATTAATCTCCATAGTCAGGGGAATAACTCGGGAGAAACAAAATGCAGCCAGAATTCCTAGTGGTTTTGAAGGAGGTAATCCTATGGGGAGTAGGGAGAAACACAGCCTTTTCTATAAGATGGAGCAATAGACTGTAAAGGAAAATTTTATTAACTTGTCTGTCATGTCCCCCTTTTCATTTATACATCTATTGCCTTGCTGTCCAGAATACCTATTGTCAACACATAGGGCTGGAATTTATGTTTATTAATGATGTGGAACAGTGTGATTGGATCCGGCAGAAGTTTGAGATGCCCGGTGTCATGAAATTTAACAACGAAGAAAAACGGACATTGTTGGCCAGATTGGTACGATCCACAAGGTATATTTGGAAAGATGTGATAAACGTGTGTGGTTGAGATCTACCTTAGAAGAACTTCTCAGCAAAGCTGTCTCAGCTGTTTAGTAAATACTTAGGGTTTCCCCTCCCTCTGCATTCGTAGGATAAGTTGAGGCAAAGAAACCGTAATAACACAGCATTTTGGGGGGGGCCCTCATCACAGTTAATGAACCTACCCACTAATGCCTGTCCTCTCAGAACAATTAAATATTAATTTCACATTGTTCCACAAATACAACATTTGTCTTCCCTGGGAGTATTTATTCAGTGAGACAGCCGTAGATCACTGTTGCCCGAGTTTAATTAAAATAAAAATGAATTCCAGACATATTCTTTTAATAATTGGGTTAACATGGCATTTGAGTGACAGGCTGTTAACCGCACGTCACACAGAAGTTTTGCTCATTTATCTTTCTGGAAGTGGGAGGGGGGACCTTCAGCCATACAATTTCTGCTGCTTGTGCTGATTAACATTAGACGGATCGGTTTAATAAAATGGGAAGGCATTTCTTAGTATCTAGTTTATATACAAGAAGAACAGTCTCCTTAATACTGGCTATATGGAGGGATTCTGATCCTATATATCTCTCCTCTCATCTCCTCTTCCTCCCTCCCTTTATTTTATTAAGGAATCCACTCTTATTTACTTGTTGCTGATAAATAACTATGCAATACCCTTGTATTCAAGTAAATTTCTAAGACTGTGATTGTTTGAGGTTATTATACTTGCTACAACAATGGATGTTTTCTTTTTGTTTTAGCAACAGACTTTAGCTTGCCCATAATAAATGGTTGCTTTTTCACTTCCTTAGGTTTGAGGATTTCCTGGCTAGGAAATGGTCATCAGAAAAGCGCTTTGGCTTGGAAGGATGCGAAGTCATGATTCCTGCTCTTAAAACGATCATTGATAAATCAAGTGAAATGGGAATTGAATATGTTATAATGGGCATGCCCCACAGGTAATTGCCTGGCTGGGTCATTTAATCCCTGAGCAAAGCACTGGCTTGCAGTTCCTGAATATTATCAGGGATTTGGGCCTCACTTTTGTTTGTAGACGTATAGGGAATCATGGTAGTGCAGTGATTAGAATGCAGGACTGCAGGCTACTTCTGCTGACTGCTGGCTGCCAGCAGTTCAATCCTGACCAGCTCAAGGTTGACTGAGCCTTCCATCCTTCCGAGGGGGGTAAAATGAGGACCCTGTTTAGGGGTCAATAGGTTGACTTCGTAACCTGCTTAGAGAGGGCTGTAAAGCACCGTGAAGTGGTATATAAATCTAAGTGATATGGTTATTGCTATTGCTATTCTACCTA